AGGGAAGGTACCACATCATCTCAGACCAACATATCAGTTGTGAGATTCCAGGCTTTCCTGTAAAGAGACTCATCTGTCATCAGTGGAAAGAAATAGCAAGCACTCTGCAAAGGTGTATTTGTTTCAGCAAACCCAGAGTACCCCAGAAGGGGATTCTCTCATTATTCTGTTAGCTGGTGAGGTCAAGAGAATTAACTTTGACCAAGTGCCTGAACTCAGGACTTAAGGAAAGTGATTAAAAACCATGGTACTGAGATCTAAATTCAGGTTTCTCTTCCTGGGAGCTTATCGCCGTGTTCTGGCGAATATTACTGACTTAGTAATCCTAAAGCCATCTCATCAGCTCTGTTGGTGTCCAGTGGAGGGACAGGTCTTATAGCTTCCAGTTTCCTAAACAAAGCTCAGGTTTGACTTCCTGACACTTAACGTGGGCTAAGGAATACCTCTTATTCCTTTATCCATCATTTGCATTTTATTTTGGTATATCCAGAGATCTGCCAGGAAATGTTTATTTTACCCTATTGCTTTTATTTGTATCAGATCACTGAAACTTTGTTAGTATATATCTCACTGCCATCAGATTCACTGTGGCCCTTCTGTTGTCTGCAGTTTGGTCACTGTAATCTTTTCTTATTTAATGGTGGACACATCTCTTGGTTGTGCTGTTGTCAATGTGATGCTTTTTTTTTTTGGCCGCACTGCACGGCTTGCAGGATCTTAGTTCCCCGACCAGGGATCAAACCCGGGCCTCGGCAGTGAAAGCACCGAGTCCTAACCACTGGACCACCAGGGAATTCCCTCAATAAGATGTTAATGTCACTGGATTTAAGAAAAATCTACTTAACTAAGAAATCTTTTGATCATTAATTTTATTAGGTTATAGGTTTGGGTACCATGGTGTGCTGAATTGGAAAGTACGTGAGCTATGGAGTCAGATAGGTTTGGGTTTACATCTTAGGTCTTCTAGTTACTGGTTACATGTCTTTGAAACCTTTACATAGTATCTCAGTATATGAAGTTCTAGAACTCAGCCAGTGGACACTCAATCACTAATAATTTTCTTTCCTTATGACAAAAATGAGTGTTTCAGGACTTCCCTGGTGGCGCAATGGTTGAGAGTCCGCCTGCCGATGCAGGGGACACGGGTTCGTGCCCCGGTCCAGGAAGATCTCACATGCCTCGGAGTGGCCGGGCCCATGAGCCATGGCCGCTGAGCCTGCGCGTCCCAAGCCTGTGCTCCGCAATGGGAGAGGCCACAACAGTGAGAGGCCCGCGTACCGCAAAAAAAAAAAAAGAAAAGAAAAAAAGAATGTTTCTGTTTTATGAATGTCTATGAATTTCCCAAACTTTATCACATCATGGAAATCTATTTAGATATTGGGGAATGGATGAGTTAACCTGCTTTCCTTGGGTGAAATCTCTCTGTTGCTGATGGATGGGGCCTTCAGAGTGTCATCATTCCCATGAGTTCACCTTTGCTAATCCGAGTAGGAGAAGCAGCAGCAAACAGCGCATTATAAATCACTGTTGCTTTCCACCAAAATTTCAAACTGAAAAATCTATTTTGAACTACATGTTTGCTCATCTTAAAGAGTTGGATTATAAACTGTTAGAAATCAGGGGCCATTAAACAAACATTTTCATTTGCAGTGGATTCAGGATATAATTGTCTTTGAGTTTGGAAAGGATGTGCTGATGAATGCCAAGTAAAGCGCCACACCACTAGTAAAGATACAGCCCTTACTGCTCGCCCAGCCAGACTTAGATGGTCCTTCTTCCAAACTGATAGCACTTTACACCTATAGCTGGGGTTCCCAACTTGAGCCTAAGGCATCATACCATTGGGGTTTAGGTGTGTCTGGCCTGTCAGAGGTCTGTCTTCAGAACAGACTGTGGAGCCTCCTGGGAGACTGTGCATCCTAGGGAAGGGGTCCCAGGCCTCGTGATCACAATCAGAAATTGGAAGGGAGGAGTGATTCTGAGTATTGTGTGGGATTGGTTTTCTCAGTGGTTCATGCTCTGAAGACTGGACAAAGGGCAGGGATTGGGCAGGGAGGAGGTGCAGGAAGGTTGTGGGTAAATGGGGACTGTTGGTAAAAATGGAAATGGCGATTTTGCTTTAAAAACACCTTAAGAGTTTGGAGCAAAAGTAAATGGCTGTGGTAACATCTGGAAATCTGCTGTCTAATGGAAGCCTGGTTAGAGGAATGTCCTCCACCAACTCTTCCATGCACAGAGCACAGCTGAGCTTCAACACCTTGGAGCTGCCAGCGCAGGCAGCAGGGTGCCCCATGGGGGTTGAGGTGCCCATCAGAGGTGGCAGCCAGCATTACAGACGTGGCTCTTCCGCAGGCCACCAAGGAAACAGCGAGGCCCCTTTCTGTAGTTTAGCTGGTAACAAAGACCCTGTTGAGTGGCACCACAGGAGGAGGCCAGAATATGAGAGAAAAGGTTTGTGCCACACGGTCAAGCGTAGGTCTTATCTATGGCTCGCCTGTGTATCTTCCCCACGAGTTCCAGAGATACAGCAGGGAGAACCCAAAGAGGGCTTTGGGGCTGGCATTACAGGATGTTGTCAATAAAATGTGTGCCACTGCCCGCTAGATCTCAGCTCTGCCAGAAGGAACGCTCACCCAGGAAGTGGGTCTGTCACTCAGCTCTTAGCTTTGAAAAGGCAGCCATGCAAGCCAGTAAGAATGGGGTGCTCTTGGGAGGTCCTGGGAGAAGAAAGTGTGATGGGGAAAAACACTCGCTGCATCATACGATCATTTAACTGCAAACTCCTAATTTTTTTCCATCTTTACTGAGGTGTAATCAACAAGTAAAATTGTGAGATATTTAAAGTGTGCAACGTGATGATTTGATACACGTATACGTTGTGAAAGGATTCTTCACATCAAGTTAATGACCTATTTACCTTATTTTTATTTTTTGGTAAACACATTTAAGTTCTATGCTCTTAGCAAATTTCAATTATATGGTACAGTTTTATCACCTAGAGTCACCATATGTTACACTAGATCCTCAGACCTTATTCATCTTATGGCTGAAAGTTTGCACCCTTTTACCAACCTCTCCCTATTTCCCCACCCCCAGCTCCTAGCAACCGCTTGTCTACTATTTCTATGAGTTCAACTTTTTTTTTTTTTAAAGATTCCATGTGTCAGTGATACCACGTGGTATTTATCTTTCTTTGTCTGGCTTATTTCACTTCGCATGATGCCCTCCAGGTTGATCCATGTTGTCACAAACGACACAATTTCCTAAAGTAGAATTTATAGTAATCATGCTATCGGTATTTCTCAGCCTTGAGTAACTCACAAAACTCTTTTAAAGAACGTGTTGCTTGAATGTACAGAAACATAAACCAGTCTATACTACTTGTGATTATGCTTCTAGATAACCATAAAGCAAGAAAACATGCAGCTAAGTACTAAAAAGACCTCCATATTAATAGAATTTAATGATATGAAATAATGGGATGAATGATTTTGTTTTGCTTAAATTAAAACCACTGTACAAGGTAAAAATATGGTGTAGATGGGACCACATGGGGTCACTGAGTTCAGAGAGCCTTCGCTGTACGTGCTGTGGGCTCCAATTCTGCCTCTGCTCTTATCCATTGAACTGCTAAAAGCAATAGTCTTACTGCCAGCCTGTCCTTAGTTGGCTTAAACCTGAGAGAACTTGTTTCACTGGTAATGGTCACAGGGGAAGCTGCAAACTTGGGAAAACCTGCATGTCCTTCCAGCACTGGGAAGCTGTTCAGGAGATGGGCTGTGGTGGAGGCAAGTTATCTGCCAAAGCCCAGAATTCTTCTGCAAATGAGTGATTTGCTTTTCAGTGTTTTTCAGTGAACTTGTCTGACTTTCTAATGTTCCATCACAGCATGAATTTTCTGAAAATCTTTGAGACCCAAGAAAAAAGCATCTGCTTGTAAAACCTCTCCACCTTGCCGAGTGCATTGGGCTTGGAGAGGAGGGATGGGGGCGAGGGGCAGTCTCTGCTCTTTTTGCTGCTCACGCAGAATTCATCCCCGAGGCTCTAATTCAGGCGTGTGTGCTGTGAGATCCTTTTCTATGGCTGCACTGTTCAGAATTTGCAAAGAAATTCACCATCTGCTCCTCCTGTGACCTGATGTCACACAGAGCAGAACATACTATTCTCATCCTCAAACCCTTCCCTTGCACGGGTGTGCACAGCTGTCCACTTTTAGGGATAGAACAACTCTCTTTTGCTCCTGTTCTGTGTATTTTCCTGGAGAAACATCAGAGTCTGCATCAGAGGACGGCTTCCAAGATCCTGGCTCTGAAAGTGTGTCCAGCTGAGCAGGCTTCTTTGCTCCTGATTCATATTTGGGCTTCATTTCTGCCTATGGAGGTGCTGTGAGCCTTCAAGTGCCACAGGCTTGAGGTGCTCATGGCTGTTTGCCTCCCCGCCATTCTTGTCTTCCTCTCCGTCTCTCTCCCTCTCTTCAGATCTGCCATCTGAGCATCGGCTGCTCAGAGATGTTGCTACCACCTCCTGTCACAGCCATCTCCTCTGGCCACCCCTCCACGTGTTCTCTGCCCGGCATCTTCTTCTTCATGCTTTTCTCCTTTCTTGTATCTTCTTCAATGTTTCTCTTCTCTTGGTTGAACGAATTCTCCTTGGTTCACCATCACCAGCCAATTTTTACTTATTTTTTTTCTCAATGGCTGACAAACAAATCCCGGGATTATCAGGGATGATTTGGGGCATAGAGATGACTGTTACTCAGAACAGCACAGAATGGACAAGCTGCTCACGTGGGCGGATCCTGAGCCCCGTAAGCTCTATGACTCTGGTGCTGGAAGACAGTGGCGTATGTGTCTTCACCAGAGGAACCTTTTTCTCGGTACTGTGTTCAAATTCAGACACAAAGCCGTAGACACTTCCCTGGAGCCTGGGGCAGAGATCACCCACAAGCATTCTTTTGTCTCTCAGACGCCCTTCTTGGCTTTGATTTGTTGTGTTTGCAGAACTCTCCTGCAGCAGCTGCAGAAGCTTCAGACTTTGGTGATGGGCAAGGTTTCTCGCACCTGCAAGCTGGCTGGCACACAGACTGGCACCTGCCTCATGGTGAGTTTCCTGAAGGGACAACACCGTTACTGCCCAGGCCCACTCCCCAATCTCCAGTCTCTCCCCAGCTTGCCACGTCCAAGTGCTGGGGTGTTCGAGGGACCACACAGCTCACTCCGAGGCTGTCTCTCCACTATGATGTGACGGTGATGGACTGCGTACCATCTGCTGGCCTGATGGAGGGGAGCTGTCTTTATGGACCTCCCAGGTGTTGCAGGTGTAAAGGTTTGCTCTGTGGATCTCGGAATTGACGGCTCTCCACTTTCTCTCCTCGTCCTGCAGGTTGTTGTGTTATGCTTTGCCGTTGCATTCGGCACCTTCTTTCAGGGCTATGGGCCCTATCCTTCTGCCACCAAGATGGCCCTGCCCAGCCAGCATTCCATGCAGGAGCCCTACACAGCCTCCATTGGTAAGACAGCACTCAGCAACTTGGGAGGTGGCTTGTTTCTTTTCTCTTTCATTTCTCAAAGCTTAACTTACTGAAAGAAGTCTTATCTGAGAGTCTGATTTTTTTTTTTTTAGATGGGAGGACTTCACTAAACCACTTGGTTTAGAATAGCTATATGATAAACGTCCCTGGGTACAGAGCAGTGGTCTCAAAATCATTTATCCATAAAAATGCATATATATCCGTTCCTTGGGAGAAGGCAATTCAATATCACTGTTCCCTCTCCCCCATAAAAAACATTCATTGAATAGGCCCACACAAGCATCTGCCCCCGAATTAGTTACTCTGCAGTTAACTGTCATCGCTGTGACCGCCAAGACATTGCAGGAAGTGTTCTTGGCTTCTGTTTCCATATGAAAGTCTAATTTCTAAGAACTGGTAAAAGTGTAGCTTCTCCACTGAAGGGAGGAAGAGAGCCATGGGGGTGTCTGGTGCCCAGGCTGCTGGGTCTCCCCTTGTGGCACTCACCCACTGGGCTGAGACACCCCTTGGAATTCTCTAGAGCTCAGCAGAGCACAGTTTGCAAACTACTGCTCTAGACTGTGTTCCCTGGCAAATTCTGATGTCTTCTTTTTGAGTTCTGATAAGGGGGAGGGATGCGCATTTGGGGGGAAGGAGTGGGGAGAACATTAAGTTTCCCATGACATTTTCAAGGAATTCAACTCAGTGGAATTGTATGCGACCATAGTAAGCATCTGTAAAATGAAATTAAAGAATCAGCCTGTCTTACAAAATATTATGCCTAAGATTTAGAAAATTTGGAGAATCAGGTGTCAGAAGTGATATTCTCACCCAGATCAATGATCTCTTTTAAGTATGTAGGAAATAAAGAGGTGATATGTAGGGATCATAAAATAGATACACTAGTAAGAACAAGGGTGGAATTAGGGGGTACTGGATTTGGGGGGTAGGCATAATTTTGTGGTTCTGAAAGATCTGTGGTCTTTGCGAGGTAGGTGTATCCCTGCCAGGTATATGACAGAAAGGCTAGGATTTCAACCAAATAATTTCAGTGGTCTCCCGGGAAATTCTTTTTTCCCTAAGGGAATGTATCTCTAAATTTGATTGGAAGCCAATGGGAGCATAGTTTCTCTGTTGTAGAAAATTGCTACGAGCCACCTAGCTATGCAACTATCCTATAAAACAAAAAAGAATGTTTCCGTTGTTTGATTTATGACTTTGGCTGTGTGTCTTCTCTCCAGTTTTAAATGAAAACACAGTCTTCTGCCCTTTTACCTTCTCCCTCTGCAAAACCTACTCACTGGGAATGCTTATTTTAGCTGCGTCTGGACATCGCCAAGTATTTGACTCCTATTGTCCACAAATTGTTTCCCCCAGATGGTTGGGGGTGGGGCATGGAGGGGAGTTTTATTTTCAAAGCAGTGGGGTGGCAGTATGCTTCCTGTTTATTTGCTTTTCTATTGTTCTTCCAGACTTTTTATAATTGGTATCATTTTTCAATGCACAAAACTCTGAAATCCTGAAGCCTTTATAGGAAGCCAACTCCAGTTGGCACCCTGTGTCCTGGGCAACAAGAACCCATGAGTTGTCATCTGCTCCCAGCCCTGGGCATCGAGTGAGGGGATGTGATGTACCCCTGTGGTCTCTCGTAACACCTGTGTCTTTGCTTTGTTCTCAGTGAGATCCAGGAACCTGCTGATCTATGAGGAACATTCTCCCCTGGAGGAGCCATCCAGTTCGGCCTCGGCTGGGGAGCTTGGGCGCTGGGACAGAGGTGCCTCCCTGCTCAGGGCATCAGGGCTGGAGTCCAGGCCCGACGTGGATCTTCCCCGTTTCATTATACCAAATGAGACCAGCCTGGAGAAATCAGTGCTGTTGGAGCTGCAGCAGCACTTGTGAGTCAAATAGATACAGATTCACCTCCTCTAAGGCACCGACGAGGGGTTATGCGTCAGCAACGTGCAGTGTGGGGTGTAGACTTTCCCACTGGCCTAGTCGTACCTTCGGCTTTTTCAAGACCTATTTCCAGCACCCGGACTCTGGAGAGACTACTGCTTGTGAACAGCTGCCCCTAGCAGAGACTGGGGAAGAGACCTGGTGTGAGCTGGCCCCGTGGCCGCTGCGCCACTGGGGAGCTGGCAGTGGTGGCCCCAAGAGTCGGGGGAAAGGACTCGACTCCCTTCCTCCCTCAAAGCCTCACAAGTAAACATACAGTCCAGTAACAGCAGTGTACTCGCTATGCAAACGCAGCCTCAAGGCTTTCCCCAGCTTCCTTCCAACTAGAGATACATATATGTCATGCCATATGTCAGTATGTAGTTTATGATTTATGTAAATAAACATGCCTTAATTATATAGTTATAATTACATGTTAATATTGAAGGACATTTCGAGAGGCACTATGCCGGTATGTGTTTCCATATTGAAAATAACATACATTTGTCTCCAATTCTCCATGAGGTGTTTCCTTTAGATAGTTACGAGGAACAGTCCTTGTGTAAACACAAAGGCTTGTACAACTGCTGGGCTTGTTGTCACGCTGGGGAGATACCTGGGTACACCAAATGGCACGGGAAGGAGCGTCTGCGTCCAATCCTGGTTATACATGGTGTGGTTCGTGGTCTAGCTGAACTCTGCCTCTCTGCCTCCCAGAAATGATGCTATTCCAATGCAAGTGGGAAAGACTTTGTTTCAGATTCTTCAGTTTTCTTCCCCTAATGTTGCAGGGGAAAGTTTGTAATTATATATACTATTATATGTTTACATGATATTATACATTCATATAGTGCTTTATTATTTATTATTATTATTTATAGCGCTTACTATTTCAAGCACTATGTAAATATGACATATACAGTAAATCCTTTGAAATACTTGAAGAGGTTAGACATTATTATTATTATTATTCCTATTTTAGCAAATTGTAGAGCTGCCACTAGGAGTAGAGAAGAATCAGCTGCTCGACTACTTGACTCATGACACAAATCTTCTCTCCTCTTGTCTCAGCTATTCAAGGCCCCATTGAAATCCCTCTTGTTCTGGGATGTCTTCCTGATACCAGAGCCCTCATAGCCCTCCTCTGAATGCCTAGAGTCTTTCTAGGCTGTTACATAATTTAATAATGTATTTATTTTCTGTTATATATTTACTGTTATTTCAAGTTAGTTTGGGTGTTTTTCTTTTTAGTCTTTATCTAGAATCTTTTAATCTCTATAAAGATTTCATCTTTATCTAGATTTTTAAAAAAAATATTTATTCTAGACCAAGGATCAGTCTTTATCCTTTTATTTTCTCCCTCCCAGAGTTTAGCATAGGGGTGACTAACCATCCTCAAGAAATACAGTCGTTTAAAGCAATGTACAACAAATCAGTATCAAACTGCCATGTTTATCCTCTGGGCTGGAATGTCTCCTTTGGCATGAGGCTAGAGGCAGGAATGCGGATGACGGATAGGCTGGTAGCGGGAGACTTCGGGAACAGGGGAGAGGACGAGAAGCATGCTTGGGCCAGCCTGCAGAGTCGCAGTCATGGAATGATTGTGTCATCCTCCCGAGCATGAGGTAATTGGTAGTAAGACCTCTTTTTCCTTCTGATGCCTTTGCAGGGTCAGCACCAAACTGGAGGGGAATGAAACACTAAAAGTTGTAGAACTCGACAGAAGAGTGAACGCCACCTTTTAAAGAGACCGTCGCCACCTCCCTCTATCTCCTCACTCTACCTTTATGTCTCCAAACCGCCTTTGTCATAAGCTTTTCCTTTTTGCCACCTGATCTTGACCGAAGACCTGGATGTGCAGTCATGGCTTTGGATACGAGGACAGCCTGGGATTTCCACCCACGGTGAGAGAGCGCCTCCCCCCGGTCCCACGTCCCTCCCTGCAGAAGGGAGCCCGCTTCTCTCCCTCCCTGTTGCTTACTGCCATAGGAAATTATCTTAGGGTCAGGGGTGGGGCGAGCAGGCTTGTTTCTACCGACAGTGCCAAAAAGATGCCGCCTGCTTCTCACCGGGGTGGGTGTGACCGCCTCTTTGAAGGAGGGCTGACGCTGGTTCGTTCAACTCGAGCCACAAAAATACCAGGATGCCTGTTGGAATCGGCAAAGCACCGACTGACGTCCTGCCTTTGCTCAGCCTGGGTCTCTCCTGCCGCTCTGCGCTGAGCCCCCGCTGACTGGTCCTCCGGCCCTGGAGCTGGAGCGAGGCGTCCCCTTCGTACTCTCAGGCCGCAAGTGCAATGCCTGAAGGAATCAGGCTTTTCTACTCCAGGCAAACCTGCCCCATCATGTTGCTTGTAGGATTTCTCCACAATCTGTGTCCCCACACGCCCCTAGTTCTGCCTCCTTGGCTTCTCCTCCCCATTTGTAAATAGTATTTATTAGCTCGCTGAGGCTTCCCTGGGCAACCACACTGAAGACATCCGGACGCCTCCCTCCAAGCTAGCAAAGTCTTCTGTTGGCCTTTGGAGCGAGGAGGGTACCCTAGGCTCTGGGATCCCCAATCCTTCCAGGCCATGTTTTGCTTTCTTTTCTTCTTTTTTGCTGGAGCCCTATAATTATAGTTGGGAAATCTCCCTAAGCATGTGTCCTCCTGTAGAATGAACTCACAGGGAAAGATGGAGCAGTGCCTCGCTCAGGTCTGGGGCTCTGTGGACAGATGCTTTTTCTGTCCCATACCCATAACAGGGAAGGGGAGCCCTGTCCCTGACAGCAGGCGTTTCAGACAACCCTGCTAGCTTGTCTTTCTCCACCTCCCCTGACACTTCTGCTTTCCCCCTCCTCTTCTGCCTCAACACAGGAGGTGAGCCTGAGGCCTGTTCCTGGGGTCAGAGTAGGTGACATTTGTGTATCCACAGTCTTACCTTTTATAGTCAGGTTTGGCTACTTTGCAGCTCACCCAAAGAGACACGACCTAATACCCCAACCTACTCTTATTTTTTTTTAATGATTAAAAGTAACTTTTGTAGTTTTAAAAAAAACTTTCCTCTTTCATACAAATAAGAAATGGAAATTGACTTTTTACTGTATAATGTAGAAGACTCCCCTTAAGTGTTTTTCCCTAGCTTGTAAAAGATTTTGTGTAAGAAATTTGCTCACGTTTTGTATTTTATTTTTAGTAGCAGCTGAAGCACCCTTAGCTTTAACTCTGTCTCCGTTTCTGTCTCTCATCTACATTGTCATTGGAACCTGTACTTAGGAGAGATTAAGCTATACCTGGGCCTTCTGTTCCATAGCAGACACAGGATTTGGTGTCATTAGCATTTGCCGTCAGACCTCATAAGCAGATCTGGTACCTTTGGGGCTCACCGTCAGTGATTCCTCTCTCCCTACTGTGATGGAGAGAGTTCTGGCTGGGAGACAGCCAAATTCATCTTCTTAGCACTGATGTAAAGCTGGATCAGGATTGCAGTGGTCCTGGCAGCCCTCTCAGTCCTCTGCACGCCTCTCACTGTCCCTTCCATTGGCCGGGGAGGGCTGAGACCGGCTGGGCTGTGCAGGAGGAAGGTTGCTAGCATGCGCCCTGCTTCTGTTTCTCTCTACCTTCTCCTCTCCTTCTCTTCTGCTCTAGACCCTCTTGGGCCTGGCTGGTGTCTGCTAACCATGGGCCACTACTGAACCATCCCTCTCTTTAAAATGTCATGTAATTATCAGACACAGGCAGCCTGTGTGCATGGGGAGGGAGAGGGCGGCTAAGAAGGGAAGAATATAGAATTAACTCAAGTAGTATTTGGACGGTAAGAAAGGCAAGCTTTTGTATGTCAGTGGGAGTGGGTCAGCTTACCCACCTGACCCACTGGAACCAGATCGGGTTTTTAAGTCTCCTGGATTAGGCTGAGTAGAAAACCAGCTCTTCTGAATAAGGAGGGAGAAGGAAAAGGTCAGCAAACTCCGAGCGCCTGTCTTTAGTGCCTTGAGGATTTTATTTCCTCCCTGACCTACCCTTGCTTGACGTCACTGTCTCCAGCCCTCCATACAGCAGGGCTTGATCTCTGGGAAACCGTTCTTCCCACAACTGAATCTGTGTCTAGAGACCAGGGACATCAGCGTGAGAGCTCAAATGGCCATCGTAAGGGGATCCAAGGACCAATTGCTGCTATTATGAGAAAGACCTCTGCCCTCTACTCCTTGCTTGGGTGAGTAAGGGGAACTAAACAGTTATCCCTTTAGGAGGACGTAATGGAGTCAAGAGGATGCAGAAGAGTTGGATAATACCAGATTGGTTCCAAATAGTTAATGGGTGTGTGCACCTTTTCTGTTCCAGGGTTAAGCCCACAATGTCAGTGGATTTGTTTCCCTCCCCAGAGCCATCCCATAGATGAGTCAGTAATACCTGGTTAGCCCTGAAGGTGTCAAACAGTGGCAGCCTTTTGGTTTCTGAACCTCAGTTTTGGAAAATAAGAGACTGTTAGCACAACCATCAATCATAAAGAATCAATGTTAATGATAAACATATTAATATATTTTTCATTACGTCAACAGCTTTTCCTCTTTCCTTTCTTTGATTAGCTTAGTGCAGGAGATGTCTTGCAAAAGTTCAGAGAACACGTACTTTTTTACTGGGTGAGACCTGAGTAACCCAGACCCCCCAGTGAGGTTCTATTCACAGTTCTTGACTTTGCACTTAGAAATGGATACTGTAAATGAAAGGCCTCAGTACCAGGTTTAAGAAAGAATTTCTGTGAAGTGTTAGGACTCTGGAGCCTAGCTCACATAAAGGGAGTGTTACATAAGAAGCTGACAGCTGAACTAGGTTGCTCCTTTTGGACAGGGGGTGGGGATGAGGTTTGACACCAGTACAGGCAGAATTAGATAACCTTTTTATGAATATAAATGATTTTGATTTAAAGACCTAATTTGTAGATTGTGAAAGCGGCTTTTAGCTCAACTTATTTACAAACCAACTGTGAGTACCATGTTTTTTTTCTTCCTAAATCTCTCGGTTTAGCCTGAATGCCGAGAGAGGGCTGTGACTCTCGTGTGCCCTTGGAGCAGGGGTCTTGCATTGGGTCACCTTTACTCTGGCAGTGAGTCACTGTCCAGAATTTTTGACAGAGGTGTTTTATTAAAATTTTTTTTTAGCACTTTGTGCCTCCTTCCTCCTCTGTCCTCACACCAAGCAAAAGACAAGGATCAGAGGCCCTTCAGGGGCAGCTCCTCCGAACACACGTGTCACGTGAGCACGTTGCACACTCAGAGACCTCCCTCTCCCCGTCGAGGAGACAGAGCGTCCGTGCCGGCCTTGCTAACGTGGGGAGATGGGAGACGGAGGAGAAGGCATTGGTCTCCCCCTTCTCTGCCAAGAGCTCTTGTCACTAGTTCGGTTCTGTTGAACCCAGTCTTTGAGGAACCTTTATTACAGACACCAGCTCTCCTGCTTGCAGTGCAGGCAGGACCTGTGACACAGACCAGTAGCAGGTAGTGCCCTGGTCGGAGTCATTTTCTTTGAATGCTTTTCAGCTGAGACGATTAGGAGACGTGATCGCATAAGCCCCTCTGGGAGGGCAGCCACAGGAGAGAGTAGGGGGCTGTGAAGCAGCAAGAGACAGAGTTCAGATTTTTCATTCATTCATTGAGTCAGTCATTCACTCCCAAGGAAGAGTGTTGCCGAAGGCCCTAGTGAATATTGGGGAATAAGGGGACTGAGGAAGCTTCATTAATCAATAGCTCTTCAAAAGACCCATGTGCCAGCTCGCTCTCTCTCTCTCTCTCTCTCTCTCTCCCCCCTCCCTCTCCCCCTCCCTCTCCCCCTCCCTCTCCCTCTCCCTCTCCCCCTCCCTTTCCCTCTCCCCCTCCCTCTCCCTCTCCCTCTCTCTCTTCCTCTTGCGCAGGCACACACACACATGCACACTCGCACACTCGCACACACGTTCCTCCCTCATCTTGGACACTCGTTTGTGTCTTACATGTGCCTTATATTTGAATCCAGGATGACTGAGAACTACCTAGGGGCTGGGAGATTTTATATACAGCTTTGTGGTACTAGACTGAGGTGGACATGGGAAAAGGAACTTTTTCCAAAGGCTCAAAAATGGTTTCCTAAAAGTGAGCCATGATCAGATTTGCACATCAGGAGCAAAGGAAGAGTTATGTCCATTAGGAAAATCCCATCTTGCAGAGGTGCAATCACATCAAAAAATGGCCAGCCGGGATTAAAGGTATTATAAATCCTCAGAGCAGAACATTTTCTCAGCTCAGAGGAACCTGACGCATTTGAGGATTAAGGCTCCATGTCTCCGTGGACAAAGGGTCAGCACCTACCACAGGACAAGACTAGGTATTGTTTCGTTTTGTCCTTTTGGGCAACATAAAATCTGGGAATGCTTCATTTTGTCTTGGTTTCTAGAAGGAAGGAAAATAATAATTCTCGAGCACCTACTAGATGCTGGGTGCTGTGCTAAATAAGTTAATTTTATAGAAAGAGAAAACAAGGGCAACGAATTACTATGAGACGGATAAACAGCTAAGTGATATGGAAAGTGCAGCAGTTTGTGGGTCAGGTTGAGCAGATCTCTTTCTGCGCGAACACGCTGTAAACTTCTAAGGTCCTCTGGGCAGGGAATGCAGCGCCTACTCCCTAGGCTGGCCCTGCTGTGCAAAGTTCAGGTTTTTGCCTCACACTGGAGATGTTCATCTCCTGTCCGGTTCATGCAGTCGTCTGTGAGCTCCAGCTAGCAGCCTTTGCATCCTGGAAAAGCACCACGAGCGGTTTTAGCTGTTTCTCTGTTCCTCTTCCTTACTGACTAGCTGGCTGAGAACAATGAACTTTTTGCACCGTGGACCCATGGCCTATGCTGTTCAGCAAATCTCCCTTTCAGATGAAACACTGTCTGAGTCTATGAAAAACACCAGCTCTCTTTGACACATTGTGAGCCACCCTCTTTAAACAATGCTGAGCAGACTCCGGACTATAAGAAACCATGAGCTTTAATGTCTCTGCTGACAGGCTGGGCTTTGCTGTCTTTGCTTACACGTTATACAGACCAGCAGTGTTTAAGTCTGAATACATTGTGAGTCTATTATCTGTCATATCATGCTGTTTTTTATGGCTTTTTATTCTTTATCATAGCTAAGTAAATACCAAAAAAAGTAAATGCTTTGTAGGATACTTGTATTTAGTTTGGAAAAAAATGAATGGAAATTGTTATGCTTTTGTATTTCTATTTCTTGCAAATAAAATATTTTTTCTTAAATAGTGAAAGTTGAAAATCCTGATACTCTGTTTTTAAAAGCTTTTCATATAAGCATGGATCTGCCTATGTGCGCCTAACCATTCTTTCCTGACTATCTAGTCCACCTGAAAGAAGAGCCTCAAACCAGCAATTTATATGTTATCTTGCACTGAATCCAAGTCTCAGCGGGAGGAATATTGAGAAATGTAATTGTTTTTTCAGTCAGTCACAGGAGGAAAGACGTATTCTCTGGACATTTATGCTGCTTGACTGCTATTTTCGTTGTCTCCTACAACTATTCTCTAACTAGATTTCAGAACTCCATGGATTTGAGTTTGCTTTCCCCACCTCGGGATGCTTGAGGACTCCTTGGACCTGATGCAGAAGAGAAGGATCCTTCCTCATGTGAACAGTTGCAGAGGACACCTAACACATATTCACGCTCCAGAAATTCTGATGAAATGGTAGATAAAGGTCAACGCACTCGAGCAGAATCATCTTTATTCCATTGCAATCTCTGTATTCAAATTTAATTTTCTCTACTCAGAGAGAGTGGGGCTTCGTTTAGCCTTAGAAAGAGTATCCAAGATGTTAGAGACTAAGGACATGGACCGTGTTTACCTGGACCTCCACCCCCCTTGCCCACTTTTTTTAATCTCAGCAGAATGCCGAACCCTTCCTTGAGCTCATGGGTGCTTTAATCTCCTGCTGCCTTTCTTCTCTGAGGACCTTGACCTTCTCTTCTTCTGTTCCTATGCAAGGGTCCTTTCCCAGTGGAGGATTTTAGTCATACACCCTCCCTCTTTCTTATTCTGTGAGCCTATAATGGAAACCTCCTCCTTGACATTCTGATATCTTTCCAGGGGTGTGTGGAGGGGCCAAATACTCATCGGTTTGAAAATACTGTGTATTAATCGTGCCTTTGTATTTTCCGTGTTTCCAATGCTTTGACATCTGGGACCTTGCTGACTCGGGAGAGACTGCTCCTCACAGAGGTAGCCCATCACTAGACAAAGTAAAGGACTTGTCTATAAGTACAACTTTCATATGCAAGCCAACCAATCCACAGCCCGTTCCCCAACCACTTCCTTTATGGGCTCTCAGGACCTCACTATCCCCCCCAACCTAATCGCCTAATCACCATGGCGAGGTACCAGACAACTAGAAACAATTGCTATACCTCAGAGCCCACTGAAATTTTTCACACTAGCCACCCTTAAACCCGCTTTCATTGCCTTGCTTGTTCCTTTCTGCAGAAACTACAGTAAAGCCTCTTGCCTAATTTTTCTCACTCCCTCTGCCTCCCAACCAACCCTGGTGCTTCCCTGTGTGGCCCTGCATGGTGTGGCAAGCTCCCTCACCTTGGGGACTGTGAGTAACAATCTACATTTTCTTTTTTTAAAAAAATTCAACAGCTTTAATTAAAAGTAATAATCATTATCACATATTTAGTACGTACCCACTGTGTATTGAGATCTGTTAACTGATATAGGACAAATTGCAACAATATCATAAAGCTTGTCTACTTTGGAGAAGCTAGGAAATTATAAGACATTAACTTAAAAAATACTCAATGTTTATTAGTAAATATGTTGACAATGTTCCATATTCTTTCAACTTGATTCACCTCTCTGCTAATTAATATGTAGTCGAAATCTTCTTATAGATCACTTTTTGGAGAAAGGTGGACATTTTTTAAGCTTTTATTTTATTTCTTTACAAACAAACTGTCTTTTCAATGGCAATTGTCTCCTGATCTGTTGGCCTCACCACATCTAAATAATAATAAAACGTACCTTTTAAAACACATTCCTTAGGCATCAGAACGTCAAATCAGAGTCTGATCCCAGGCTCACAGGCATTTGGGTTTCACGGATGGGCCTACGACGATTTAGAGCAACGTAACACAGATTTATTGCCTCAGTTTACAGTGATTGTCACTTTTGTTCCAGAGAAAATAAACGAGACCTACACAGGTTGATGGGGCATGTTCACGGGAAAAAAAGTAAATCAGAACACAGGTGTCTAGAGTGCTAATCTTGTACACAGTTTCCAGGGTGAATCATACCTCATGTCTCTGAAAAGGAGAGCTTTCCAGGCAAGGGAACCATGGGATACAGTGCGGGGGCGGGGAAAGCAGGTTGGATTCAGGAGATAAAGGTTATGGGTTCTTGCCTCCTAATACCATTAACTTGTTGACCTTGAGGAAAAAGGAG